TATAGCATCCGCTCATAGTCTGGCACCGCAGGCAACATCCTATGAAACTAATTTCTACCAAAACTTCCAGGCCACAAGTTATCATATGCTGCGAACTCTTATTTTACCATTTGACAATAATTGTTTCCACACTTAGAATGTGCATTGAATTGTCAGGCTATTCAGTGGAATAGTTGCACCCGGTCCACAACATATATTAATTTTCGTTTAAATGCTACGTCTGTATTCGTAGGCCACTAGGGGTCGGTGTGACTTGACCTACACTAATATTATGGCGGTATTATATTGGAGGCGCTTACCTTTTGTTGGCAATGCTCCCACGTTAGCGCGATAACTCCAAAAAGTGATGGTATAAATGAAACGCAGTACCCCACATGTGCTTTAGGAAAAGTCAACCGTGGTTAAGTTTAAGATTGTTACACTGTAGTAAAAACAGCCTATATATTTTAGTTAAGTAAACTAAATTATCTGCCTTGGTTGTTATTATTTCGTTATATATTTACTTGTATACATTTTATGAACTTAATTAGTTTGTTAATTTGGATAATAAATTGCTACATCCATGCCATTGGAATAATATTTCAGACAAAGGTGAACAAAAGCAAACTGCATTTGAAAGAAAATTCCGGATTTGTGTAAAAAAGTACATAACATTTTTCTGAATTTAACATTTTTTTTTTCTGAACACACATCTCTTTTAACATTCAGTCTTTTGTATGAAAATTAAGACGCGTAAAAAATAAGACATTATCTAATAAATTGTATATGTGTTTCCCTCATATATCCAAATGTTAATTAAATATTTGAATTCTATTTCCATAAATGTAATGCTCAACTTATTTACAACTTGATTTTTTAACATTTTAGGGCTGTCTATGTCATATACATATGTTGTTGCCTTGGTTCTAAAGAAACAAACAAAGAAAAAACAGCAACCAAAATGTATGGTATGGCTACAAATTTAGAAAAAAATGGACTGCTGTTGGTTCCCAGTGTTCCAGGATAATCTAGACAAAAATTACTCAAAGGCAGGTGTGGTTAACCAACCATAATATCATTCTTGCCCTTTGAGACCCCAAAAGACCTAGTCACTGGGCTTTTGTTGGACCATAGCCCAGGAACGGTGCCTAATATCAACATGGGTAGCCATAAACGTCATTTTTTGCCGCAATTTGTATTCTTTAACAAGTAGCAAATCAAAGCTTCGGATTGACGAGCGAATTAGACGGACGCTGTGTTGTTACCTGCTTTAAGTCTCTCTAGCGTCAACAGCATTTAAGTGCCCTCATTACCAGACCAGAGAAAGGAGTGATTTTGGTAATGGCTTAAGGTCGCGATGTTAGAGCTGCAAGGTTTAAAAGGCTGCAGGAATAAACGTCTTTTTTATATGGGGCACCAGAACGCCGGAGTCTTTGCATATGATTTATATGGTGCACTGAAGAGGCATCCGGTTCTTATTGACCTTAATTGAAATGCAAGTTTCCAATAAATATCAAAATGGCAGGAAATGCACTGGAAGAGGTTGATGTTGTATCTTGACTTTTGAGAAACTGTAGTTGATTTAAAACAATATCTGTAAAATATGTGCAAAGCTAGGTACATTTAATTAACTTATGAAATATAAATAAATTAATTTATAAATGTATATCTTATATAAGAAGGTAAATATATGTCATCGGTCAAGTTTCTAATCAAAATTGTAATAGGTTTTATCTTTATTATTTTTTTGATTAAAGCTAAATATTAAGATAAGCCTATTTTGTCTGCTGACATAAAGAGTGAAATATCTTTACCTTTTCATTTTGTGATGATAAATATATTAATATTTTGATTTTAATAGTTTGACATCTAAAACCAAAATATCGAGCTTAAAAATATCTTGGAAACAATGTTTCCATCGAAATTTTCAGATAAGTCAGCAATCTTTTTTTGAATAAATTGGATGTACTAATGAGAGGTATCATGAACTCTTCATCACGCGTTTGGTTACAAAAACATGTATAGAAAATTGTTAGAGAAATTAATGAACACGAAAGTGTACGCATACTAAAAATGTTGCTTGGAATGTGCAAATAGATTTAGAAGAGCTTTGCCAAGATATATGTATGTATGTACCTATTTTTTTTAGACCAGGCCCTGGAGATATTTGATCAGATGGCTTGTTACATTTCTGACATGGTACCGCACATATTAATAAGGTTTCTTTAAGGTGGATGACCTACCATGGATTTTTCAATGTGAAAATTCATTCTTGAGGATTCATTCACAGGGTACTCATATCTCCCGCAGATGTATTTTAAAACACGATTCAAAGTAAAGGTTTGACCTTTTTTAGACTCATTTCAAGTTGAGTTCTGAAATTAGTAACAGCGGGGCCTCTGTAAAATATCGATACGTACAGCGCTGTGGTTTGTGTTGAAATAAATTATCGTTACGAAACCAGGGGTCGAAAGAGGTCCTCTGCCAGTATACTCATCTGACATTATTTTACGTGCATACAATTTATTTTTTTCATGTCCAATTCATTACACCATAAACATTGTTTTAGTTTAAAGGTTGGTTCTGATTTTAAAAATTCCCTATTGTTTTCATGTAACGTACTGTGCATGCACTCAGTATACAGTTAATGTACACTAATTTGATGCTTTGGATATGAGGTAATGATACATTTGACAGCTTCTATCTGAACTTAGATATCCCAATTAATAGGCAAACAATGCATATTATATTTATTACAGTACTTTATATTATTATTATTATTATTATTATTATTATTATTATTATTATTATTATTTCCAGACGAACGAAACTTCTCATTTAGAGAGCACATCCTATATATGCGTAAATGCCAAGTTAATGTCTTTATGGTTTAAGCATACATTTTATTTTTAGGCAGTTATTTTTCTTTGATTGCATATTGTCTGTTTTCCATCTTTGATAGTTATTCTTGAATTTTTTAAGTTGATGTGTTATCAATACGTTCCAAAGATACCAATATCTATGTAATGGACGATTCATGTTGACCAAAGCTAAATATATATACAATATGGGATGTGATATGATTGACATTAGTTTAAAAATATTAATCATTCTAAATATTTACGTGTTAACTATGACAACAAAATACCAATATTCGCTTAATTGAAACTCCCTAATGTAAAATGAATCCGTCATTTCACTAACGTCTGTCAAGAAAACCTTCAATAGAATACCAATACAATTTGTATGAAATCATTTAATCACAATTAATAATTTGTCATGGTCGCTATCACAAAGTCAATTCATACTTTGTATATGTTCTTCGACATCGGCCTTTTTTATATCAACCACCGTAGAATTGAAGTAACATACCTAACTGGTGACACGGGGCTTATGTTACGAAACCTGAACTGACATGATTGCGCCGACGGTGAGGCATCGTCTTACCGTAATGATAGTATTCAGCTCTCTTTAACATAACTGGAGAATACTACCTTTTAAAACAGGTTATGTTGAAGTGGCGAATTAAATAATGTAGATGTATTTTTGCTGATTTGGGAGTAAAATATATTAAAGTCCATCGCTGAACTGAGAAGGTGATGGTGCCATGTCGCCGTGTTCGTATCCTGGGGCAGATTTGTTCTGTTAAAAAAAAACTGCAACAGCGATCTGCAACTTCTTTGGTTACTTCCATAGTAAACAAACATTGACGAGGCACACCGTTTATCATCACATCAAATTTAGCTTCACCTGTCAAACATAAACTGTGCTGATTATAAGGTGAATTCTCAAGTCGTATTGCCAACTATTCCCAACCGTCTCATTTCACTCAGACAGATCTAGAGTACCGTTCACTCTATGGGACACACTGGTTTACGTCGCGTTCGTAAAGGTCCTCCCTGTTGCTTGACAACGAGTGTTTTTAACAAGGTAAGAAATATGTTTTCCATTCGGCGCTCTGGCTTGTTTTAGGAAAATTAATACCATAAAGGTCAAAAGGGCATACTTAACGGTACACAGTGGTAATACGCCATAGAAAATGTCCCGTAGAAAGATCAGGCAATTCAACCGTAGGACCATTTTCCCCATTTTGTGACACGGGTGATCGGTAATTTGAAAAGTTCAGCTGCAATTTCTTTTTTTTTTTTGTCCTCCAGGCGAAGGGAAATTTGCGAGTGTTGCCATAAAGTGCTACGTTGTTGAAATCGCGGTCAAAATGGCGGATGTGTGGAATTTACATTCTGCGTTTAAATCGTCTGTCATCGAAATATCAACATTTTGTAGCTGGATTTTTTCGAAAGACATCATAAAATGTATAGCTGTTCACGATACAAATTTATTATGTGTATGGTAGTCGGAAAATAGGCGAAACAGACTATATTGTAGTCGACTTAATTTCGTCTTTGACTGTGCACTGGTATTTAACCCGAGAAACGTCCCCCCATATTCACGACATTGTCATGAATTCTGTGTCAAAGTATTTTCTGTCATCGATACCTTAACAGTACGCCCTAATTACACGGTAAATAACGACACCTTCTTATTTGGTCGTCTGCGGGCACAAAATAGTGTTTATTTAAATGGTCTATAATTCCAGACATTAATACGTGTCCAAGGTTGAGTTACAATTCCCTTGTGAGACAAATATTTCCCAGTGCCATTCTTGCGTGTTCTTTTTTTTTTTTTTTTTGTCCCCGTCTAATTTCATTCAGATGTTTAATTCGTCTATCGATTTCAAGTTTTAAATTATTGCCATGCCTCCTATAACGCAATTTAGTCGGGATTAAACTGTAGATTATCAGAGACCTTCTGAAATCGAAATCTCTCTCAATAAAATTGTAATCTAATCAAATGGCATAGTAGTCGATCCCTACGGGGATGGTACAGCTTACCTTTTTAATAGAACGGCTCATCTCAACCCTTGCAGACGGCATGAAATCCAGTCGAAAATGGCCGCTGTTGCCAATTTATTTTTTGAAAACAACGGAATCGCTGTAAATTTGACCTACTTTTCCTTTCAGCAGACGTTCAGTCAGATGTGCACAGCGGGCCCAGTTCCTTTCTCAAGTATATAGAAGAGGAGTCCGCACACAAACAGGTCAGTCGCAATGACAAGACATGATTTGTCATTTGAAAATTGGACTAATTCCCGTCTGTGAGTTGTTGTGTGTACCATTGTATTTTATTGCAGATATGCTAGCGTAAATACGACGAGGTTAGCTTAGCAATGATAATTTTAATATTGAATGTTTATATTTTTCTCACCACAATATTAAGAACATCAAATTACACATACAAGAAAGGCTATTCATGAAAATGATAGAAAGGGTAAAATCATTTATTGATGAGATGACAGCATCGGTTCTTAACTGAGAAGAAAAATAGTACCTGGGATATGAAACATTTGTAGACAGTTCCATGTTTATGGTAAACAAAAACAAAAATGTACACAAATGTAATGTTTAAACACCTTACCGGCTGCCCCATGCTAACAACGCAGTAACCCCAGTTTCTAAATTATTAAACGACTAAATCATAATTTATCTTTAATCAAATGTTATGTCATTAATCAAAACATAATGCACTTTTGTGATACAACTTACAATGTATACGCTAGATTATGAAATAAGGCTTAGAGTCGTTATTGAAATAACGTATGCGTTTCAATGTCAAAATCCAAACATGAATAGTGGCATATGGGATTGTTGACAACGCAGAAAAAAATGAGCTTGTCTTATTTTTGACGGTTAATTTTATGGAATGTAGACTAACCTCACGCGGTGATCATCAGTGCCTTGGATCTGAGTTTCCCTTTCAAAATACGAGGTGATTGCACTTATTAGGAATAAGGAATAACACATCCACTTGAAACTTATAAAGGATAAGCAGGGCTGCCCAAAAATAAATATTTTTTAGCCCATGGCCCCCAAATTAAAAAATAAACAATTTGCCATACAAAGTCAAAAATAAAATGAAAAGAAACGGATTAGTGATTTATTAATTAATTTGTACCTGGTAATGGGTAAGTGGGTTTTAATTTGTTAGATATGTTAAATATTGAGTGAGGTCTGCCGTATGCTTTTTTTATGAAAGGGAGAAAGAGAATATTTTGTTGTTGTTGAACCTCCTGCGGTGTGAAGGTTTTTTAATGCCATCTATTTTTGCTTTAAATTTAAGCTTTTTTTGGATCAGAATGCTGCCATTGAACAAATGCAGTCAAATTAAGCGAACTTGAGATAGCAGATATCTTATCACAACGAATTCCTCTTCGGGTATGCATTTAAAAAATGCGTTAAACACGTGGGATTTATTACTTAAGGTGGGACTTTTACCACATATCATGCAGATTTCCACCCAACTCCCTCGTTTTCAAGGTTAACTGACATTCCCGTTTCGGTTCTCCCTTTATCATTTTTCAAAACACCATAGCAATGAAATAAATAGCCTGTTTAATCTGTTTATCAACGGGATACAATTTCACATATTTTCACTTATGACACGGGATGGGTCTTTTGTTCGAAAATCCGATTTGTTGTGTTTTGGAGCCAAACAAAAGTAATGAATTAGATAATTCTTATTTAAAAGGCAAATTTGTTAATATGTTTAAGGTATGGATTTCAAATCAAGATACGTAATATTTAGTGATATGTTTTGGTTTTTTGTTTTGGCTCTTGGGGTAATGATTCGCATTCTTTGGTGTATTAATTCAACCATTCATAATATTATCAATTGGAAATGTGCAGCTTCATTACAATGAATATGACAATTAATGCTTAGCTGTATGTACATGTGCATATCGCAGATATGTGATTAAATACATTTATACATGTTAGCTCAAGCACGCTTTGCGTAGTGAAGGAATCGAGAGAAGTACAGCTTTGTAAAAAAACACGCATTAGTTGACGATATGCATGAATAATATTTCACAACAGTAGCAATTTAACTTGGTTTCTTTGATGTTAAACTCTACAAAAAGTAAACAGCGAGTCTACATATATATGAATTAAATGTGTGGAAGAGATTGGAAACCCCCAGGGAACTGAAATCTTGCTCTCTCCGTTTTCTGTTCCTCTTTTCTCTACTCGGTGTCTTTCCCTGTTAAACGTAAAGTCTTTGCAATGTTTAAACGTAAAGTCTTTGCAATGTTGATTAAAGGAAAACTTCTTTAAATTTCTGTACCACGCAATCGTGAAATATTCAGAAGTGTAGACGACTTTCCCTAATTCTACACGCATATTAGGATCATATAATTGCCCTGGATCGGATCGTCTTAGCAACCACAATTGCAATGTTCTCCTCTACTGCAATGGTCTTGCAGGCGCCATGTGGCTATGGAAAATGTAATGTATACATTAAGGTATGCATTCTGATGTCACTGACATCGGAGGTGATAGAAATTACGGGTGCTTCGACAAAATGTTAGGATATTCGAAGAAAAGTAATATGATATAAAAGTATGCATCGCCGTGGGGGTTTCCAGCATCTTGCTTGTGGCTATACGGTGTCTTCACAACTGAGAGGTCTTTTCTCGAATTCCTTGCTTGGCGTTAATTCAGCTGGCGCAATTCAATAAGGTATGTTATCTGACGGGAAATTTGAATTGCGTCTCACATAGAAATGGTACAAAATATATGTTGCAAAATACCTCCTATGTTTTTACCAAAGTTTGGTATAGGCAATCGGTACAATTGTACTTGTGTTGAACCATACACTGTCTGATTTGGAATTTATTGTCGTTGGCGTAAGAACGAGGACCCCACATCACTGTAAAATCTGAACACTTTTTTCATTAATAAAAAGGTCATTAGGTAGCTTCATTATAGCCACATCTAGTGAACTGTTTTTGGAATACTATTAGCAAAGGGACATTAAGTGTACATTTATTATTATTATTATTATTATTATTATTATTATTATTATTATTATTATTATGTGAGTTATCAAATGTCCATGTTATAAAAGGCTAGATAAATTCGCTTCAAATTGAAATATTCATTTACATACATATTTGAAAGCACCCATATTGCAAACATAGTCATACACATTTGCAATACATTGTCTATGTAGAAAAGAAATGCAAATAATTAAAGACATATTGCGTGCTTGTCTGCAAATGTTCAGGTTCGGTGCATTGTCTGTGTACATTTAAACAGAAGTGTTTGCAAGTAAGGTATATAGGCGAAAGTATTGCAAGACAACATATAATGCTAATACAATAGTTGTATCCCACACGTATATAGACGCAAGCTTGGTTTTTAGCGGTACGCGTAGCCTACTGCATATTGCATACAATAACAGGTTATCAACATTTCATAAGTAGGTTAAAAAGATGGTGTAACAAATGTGAAATACCTAAAATAACTAATGTGAAGGTTGTCTCATTCCATGTATTAGCACGAATGATTTCTCCCATGCATTGTACAATAGCCTTCTAACAAGCATCAAAGTTTTTTTGTAAGATTATTTGTGTTAGGTATGAGGTATTTTTTCCGCTTTGAATGGCGGCGACGTTTTTTTTTTTTTTTTTTTTTTTTTTTTTTTTTTTTTTTTTTGAAAGACTGAAATAGCGATTTTTAACTTTCTTGTGAATAAACGTGGTTTCACTGTAATTCTTCCATCCGAGGTTCCATGCACCAAGTACCAAATACTCGGGTTGTTTGTTTCATAATACAAATCTATTAAAAACTAATTTCCGTGCTAGTATATAATTTTTAGTCTCAGTATTTTAGGACTCATTCCCTATGGAACAGTCGTTTTCAGTAGATCAAATCCAACTCCACGAGATTAACAGATTTTAATCACGCACCCTCTCTAGCGTACTCTTATCATCACCAGCTTTTCTGCATTCTACCCGACGCTAGGTGGAAGCATGTTGATCTGTTAATATGATTGCATTCAGCGAGAGCCCCTGCGGAGTTGGATCGATTTACGTCGAACGATAGTTACATTGGGAATGATCCCTATATAGCCTTAAAAGTACGCGAGTGGGAAGGTGGTTTTGGATTTACCACTCAAGTATGACAGCGCATATATGAAAAAGATTCTACAATTCATGATGCGTTTTTATGTTTATATATTTTTACTTCATTGTTTGTGATGGAGCCCTCATCCTGTGCATCAGAAGCGGGCAATAGCATTATATTTTAATTAAGACTTAGATAACATAAACTATATATAAACTACAGGTACTCATTATATGAAATAGGGGCTACTAAGTTCTGCAAATATATCCTCAAAGGAAGTGCTTTATAATGCTCAGTTCAGACAAAAGTTGTAGTCATGGTCGTGATATATGTACTAGTATGAAGGGTATATGTAGAAAATGAGCACCAACGGAGAGCATATCAGGAAAAGAACGTGCATCTAGGCAACTTTGCGTTTTTAAAGTAATCCGTGAACAATATACGTCTTGACAAATTCCCGCCACACAGCAAGGTCAGGTAAGATATATACATATGTAGACAATGGTATATATAATATAATACTATTGTATTTATTAACGTGGCGTGTTTCTAAAATATTAAGCAAATATAACATCTGTAAAGCACATAGAAAGAACACCAGAAGCACGAACAACTTATATATGGCACAGGTAAGCAGATGAATTTATGACACTTGACTATTTTGCTAGGTATGAAAGGTACATTTGACACAGGTTTTGGTACCCGATGTAAGGCGTTTTTTCATTCATCCGGTTGTTTAATGTTTCTATATAATTAATCTCGATAAAATAATAAGCATACATAGATCATTGTTGAACACTGATGAGCATTCACTTTTGATTTAACCAGGGGAATTTTCTGCAGTATTCTCCATGTAAAATTGTGGCGCCTAGGGCTAAATGTGTGAGTTTATAGCTTAAAAAATGCATGATTACGCGTCCCGTATGTAATACGGTAAATTATTAACATAAAAACATGATGAATTAGGTAGGTTGGGACTACGGTGGACTGACAGGATTCAGGATTCTGACTGATAAGAGAAGATACATAAACAGACGGGTCTATCGACAAACAAACTGACAGACAGTCAGACAGACAGACAGACAGACAGTCAGATGTAAACATGTTGGTCTATCAAGCGGACAGGCCTACATAA